TGCCTGTACCCTTTTTAAGATTTTGCATGGCATAATAGACACCCCAGATCTTCTTGCAGAGATTGACTTTCATATTCCCTCTAGGACCTCACATCGGAAAGAGTTATTTAGCCTTCCTTTTCATAGGACATTATGGCGTTAATATGCCCATAGATAGGATGTATAGGATTGCCAACTTAGTGTTACAAAAAAAATGAAGACATTGATATTTTTAACTGTGTTTATAAGACTTTCTGTAGGCAATCTAAAGATATTTCACTTTAGTATTAAGTGTTTTTGTATGTTTCACTTTCAAGTTTTGAATTTTATTTATATATTTTTTCAATTTTAATATTTACGAAACGGTCAGTTCGCCATCTTGCTCCTGTTGTTTTTTGTTATGTGTGTGTATTTTTATACCTATCGACAAGCAGAAAATGTTCTAATTTAATTTTATTTTTTTTATAATCTGTAAATGCTACATGCGTTAATAAAGATTTTGTTTGATTTGATTTGATTTTGTACTGTCTTTTGTGTTGGGATTTTAATTTTTGGTAATCAGAGCGGCGTGTATTAAAGCCTTGTTGAATCTACTAACACTTTCTCACCCTGACGAGCGAATATCCTAGCAAACAAAGCAAAGAGATATTGGCTCAAAATAAAAACTAAAGTTGAATAGCATCCCGTACGGGACCTCAGTACCTGCTGGTGAAACTGACTAACTATCCAAAAACTCTTCAGTATTGAATAAAGTTAGTGTTGATTGAATGTAGTGTGTGGAATTAAAATTTTAGCACAAAGAATAGGGGCGGTACCTAGTTTAAACTTTTATTGATTATTGACTCACAATTAATTGTTAAAATGACACAGTATGTTTTGATTTTTGAGGAATGTTAGATCGAGGGCTTCTCTGCCGTGCTCTTTCCCGTCATTAGTTCCAGGTCGAGAACGGTACGATTTACTTCAATAATAAAGTAGACGTTTCACAAATTTTTCGTTTATTTTACATATCACAACTTCCCTTGAATTTCCCTAATTCCACAACGTAGGTCCTATTTGTTTTCCATTTCGTTTTTCAAAGATTTGTTGTTTAAAAAGAGATAAAAATTCAAACCGTTCAATCTTGCTGAACGAACCCGGGGTTGTTATACTACAATGTTGACTTTTTTTTCCAAATTTGAAGGGGAAAAAACGAGGAGGTAGTCACTGCAAATCTTCTGTCCTACAGGATGGAGATCTCATGAATATCTGTGGAAATCCATCATGGATATCCGTGAAGACACATAGATATCCTGTGGAGATACAAGACCTTGAATTGTGTAGAATCGTAAAAGCGTAATGGCATGTTATATTGACAGTTGAGTTGAAGAGGGCGCTTCTGTACTTGGAGCTCTTTAAATTTTGACGCGTAAATAATCGATTGTAATTTTAACCTCAAAAGTTAAGTTTGATGTGTGGTTTCAAGACAAGCTGACGCTGACACTTTTAAAAATATTCTCTAAGGGCCACTGAACGCTTTGGAAGATATTTTAACTTATTCATTGTCCATTGTTCATATGTAGTCATTTTCCTTCTTCCCAATTTGAACGGTTTGAAACTATTGACATTTACCGCCAAAATTTAAAGCACTCCAAGATCACTCGCGCTCTCTACAAAATTTCAGGGAACTTAACTGGATATTTGCTGCCATTGCATGCGCACACCATTTCAACCATTGGTACCGTGTTCAGGGGCGCCGACTACGTGGGTGCTCGGGGGCTCGAGCACCCACGAGACGTAAACAGTGGGTGCGGAGCACCCACGAGCATAGACAAATACTAATAATCTTCTCTAGTTCCTAGAAAAATGGTTAATTTTGTACCTCGGGTTCCTGAAATCTGGTTAACCAAATGTCAAAATAGTTACCGGCCATCAGATGTCGATTCTGTTGGTTTTATTCTGTCAATTATGTGTTATTTTCATATTTGCGTTCCCCAAGTAACCGGAATTTTCAGTAACCATCTGTCGACTGATTCGGTTACTTTAGCTCTGTTCCAACAGACATGAGAACCTTTCTAGAACGGTAATTTCCAGTCGATTAATCCATTTGTCAATTAGGATAAACGTTCAACTTATTGAAAAATATAGGTGGGCAACTATAAAAATTATTGGTTCTGGAACGGTTCTCATGTCTGTTGGAACAGAGCTAATGGTTAACGTTTGGTTATATTTGGACTATAGCCTTATATAGACTATGTTCCGATATCAACTGTCAGTACTGAATTTACTGGATGCCGTTCCTATATTATTTTCATTACACTGGATTCAGTCGATTCAGTACTGAATGACCACAAGAGTACGCTGTAGAAATCGGACCGGCAAATGACAGTAAAATCAGCACAGTAAATCCAGTACTGGCAGTTGACATCGGAACATAGTGGTACTTTGTTTAGAAGAAGAAGGTAAAGAAAATCAGAAATCTTTTATGGAGAACAGCGTAAAACGCAGATTTTCGGTACATGCTGCTTGGAAAAGAATATCTGCAGGAGAGTTTTCCACGCTTTACCCTCATAGACGTCCTTTTATCCAATTTTAGCAGACACCGCAAAAAACTTAAGCAAATACCAAGCGACACTTGTTCCCGCAGCTGGAAAACGAATATGGAAAGGTGTGAACTACGTTGTTTGAAATGTATTACCATTCCCTTCCCAGACACTCGTCCGAATGTAAATTAAAGAATGCTGATAAACGTTTTTGGGCGTGGCATCCGGATAAGTTTTTTCGCCACCGGCGGGCTGTTCACCCCCCCTCCCAAGTGCCGCTCCATGAGCAATAGCACCCACGAGGTTTTCTGGAACCCGGCGCCCCTGACCGTGTTATTATTATACGGATACATGGAAATCCATGGAATTCCAAATGATCTTCATGGAGATCCAACGATATGCCTGGAGATCCAAGGATATCCATGGAGATCTATGGAGTTACAAGAACATCTCCACAAATGCATAGTGGCGGCGCCGGCGCAAATATCACAATAATTAGGCCCCTCCTACCTTTGTAATGAAAAAACATAAGATTTTTTGTACTCGATAACTTGTCGTTTAATAAACCTTTGAACCGAAATCTAATAAAATAAAATAATGAATCCAAAGCAACAAATATTATTTATTTGGTAGAAACGCATCAAATCAAAACTTGATTTTCTCTCTTAAATAGAACAAAATAGCCTTACATATTCTTAAGCTTAAACCGGTTGACTTATGAAATTTCTCAATAAATTTCCCAATATTTTTAATTTACCAAATGACCTTTCAGCGGTGGCAACTGGAAGAAATCCACCAGTTAAGTATATCGATCGATTTCGGTTATTATATTTCTCAGTTTTATTTTATAGCATTTTTATTTAAAAAAAAATATTTGTACTTCGGGCCTCCTTCGTGCCCGAGCCCCTAAGCATTGCTTATATCCGCTTATGCATAGCGTCGCCACTGCACAAATGAAGATTTTCTCTGTTCTATAAAATCGCGAGTGACTACCTTCGAGGGGGTTGCCACTGTGGAAATCTTCTGTCCTACGGGATAAGGAATTCATGAAGATGTGTAGAGATCTGTAGAAATCCTTGGAAATCCGTGGGAATCGGAAAAGCGGAGATACAAGGAGAACCATAGAAATCCAAATGATCTCCATGAAGATCCAAGGATATACCTGAGATCCAAGCATATCCATGGAGATCTATGGAGTTCCAAGAAGATCTCCACAAATGGAGATTTTTTGTCCAAAAAAATCGCAAGTGACTACCCCCCGGGAAAAGCCAGCTGTAACACAGCACTTTTAGGATAACTTTGGTCCATTTTGTGTTTTTTAAAGCAGTTTTGAATCGACAATAATACGCCTACGAAAGGATTTGTATGCATGGCTACTAGCTTCAATTGGATGAATTTTAATGCAATTTTGAACCAGATGTTGACATTTTTTTCCATATTTTAAGGCAAAAAGCAAAAACGGAGCACTTTTAGGACAGAATTGGACATCTATGTGGATTTTAATAGAAATGTTACAATTTCTATTTTGACGTTTATGATTGGATGTTGTTGAGAATTTCATACATCTGTCAAAACTGACATTCTAACAATAAACTGACATGTTTTGATTGTTGATTTGAACCAATCAGATTGGAATTACGCGATAATTTGCACAATTATTGGATAATTGCATAGTAACTGGTGCGATAACTGGTGTTTTGACATTTTTTGACAAAAAATTTAAATTTTTGATTCATGAAATTCTCAATAGTAATATAACGAGTGCAATGAAAATATCGATAATTTTTGGGAAATTTGCCCGAATGCATTTTTCAGTTAAAAACGCATGAGTGCAAATTTGTCGAAAATTATAGATATACGATCCTCTTTACACTTCAAATTTTTCTTCGCAACGATGATACCTTTAAAGTATTGAAATTTGATGGTTGAAATTTACGGGGGCCTATTTTCAATGTTAATTGTGTTTCCTTCTTTCCCAAAAATTATCGATAATTTCCGTTGCACTCGTTGTATTACTATTGAAAATTAGGATTTAGGTCAAGAGATATCCATATTCTAAGCTTTAAATTGAAAAATGTATATTCGCTGCGAAGACAACTTTTCCCTAGCCCATTGAAAATGCATGGACGCACTCTCTTGATTTAATAAAAGAAGGAGGACACACTTGGGACAATCTTCCGCCGCCTGAACCGCTACCGCTTTCTTAACTTAAATTGAATTTAATTTGTTTTATCCCAAATAAAAAATCCCAGAGGGTTACAACAATTTGTATATGAAATAATGTTGGGCGCGACAGAATCGAATTATTTTGATTTTTGACAGATTTAAATCTGAAACTGGAAAAATTTTCAATAGCTTGAACATTTCTTTGGAAATGATTCTGATTAGAACCAAAACAAAGCCAATGGTGATCTTCAAAATTGGAGTGGAAGTTATAATGCTCTGTTTCCTAACTACACTGACCCTTAACTTATCCTTAGTAAATAACTTGAAACTTACCGGAAGCTGGAACAGGGATGTATAACCCAATGTCCGGACGCTTTCTGTCGTATCCGTTCCTTCATCAGCGCCTTCTTGGAACCGAACAATTTCATCGCCAATTTATTATCGGTAGGTTGGAAAAGGGCTTGTAGCTGGTTCTTGAGAAAACTCTGTTTGCTAGTTTCCACTGATCCCATCGTGATGGGACCGGGATCTTCTTTGGGCGTCCCGTAGAGCGACATGTCGTCCACTCCGAAATGGACTTTACCGCTACCCTTGTAGTTCATGTCGTTGGACAGACAATCGGCTATAAGTAAAGTTTCATCGTCCAACGCGGTCACCAGCGAGTCCGTGCACGTGTTGGTGTTTTCGATGCTGATTTTTATCGAATCATCTTTGGCGAGCCGTCGCGGTGGCGGTGATCGGATCTCTTCTTCGGACTGGGCTGATGCCACCCGACCGTTGGCTAGCCGTAGACTAGGAGCGCGGCGCGTTGTAGAACGACGCTCTTCGCCGCCGTCTCCACCGCCTCCATCTCTGCAAAAAAAAATAAAAAAACTATCATCGGTTGGTATTCTTTTAGTATATGATCACTCATATTTGTAAAAATTGATTCCAAAACGGAACGAAATATTATAAAAACACTGTAGATTGTAGAAAGCAGAAACTATATTCTGTTTCATTACTTTTTTTTGCATCTGGTCCTCCTTGGAAGTTTGTCTCACTTAGAACCTTGTTGTACGAGAATCAATGAGTTTGGTACACAGGGGTTTTAGGACATGAAGAACTGGGTGGTGCTACGCTTTTAGGCGTAGGACCCCCTAAAGACACTTTTTCGTGCTCCCTTCCCCCTGTCTTTGGAACCTCAAAACTTTGGTTACATATTTGAATTTTCCAAGAAATATAATTCAGTTAGAAGGCTCATTCAATTTAAAAATCTTTTTGTCTCTTGAAATTTTCACGTTAGTATAATATTTTCGAGTAATATGGCAAAATGTGATCGAATGCATATGGAGATTCATTACCTAATATACAAGGGAGAGAGTCAAATTTTGAAGGAGGACCAGAAGCAAAAAAAATAAAAGAACGGAATATACTAATGCAATGCGTGCCTTGAGTGCAATTTTATTAAAAATGAGATATTTAGCCTTGCAGCAATAACATTTGACATGAATATTGCCTCAAGCTAATGTCGCTGAGAGACATAGTTTCTGTATTCTTTTATTTAGTTTTATTCAAATATAAAATTCAACATTATTTGGTAAAGCTGATGCGTTTCAGGTTTCACGTGAACGGTTTATTGAAAAGCTACTTATTTAATCAGCAATCCACTATTATCGGTAAGAAAATTTAATCGCAAATTCTAACTGGTGTTGATAGAACAAGTGTGCTTTTTTCATAAAATTTTTGAAAAAGTTAGACTAATATGGATACCGATAAGAACACAAAATTGATTTTTTCAAGCAGAAAGCAACAAATGAAAAAATCTCTACGAGTGGTTTAGCCTCTGGCGTGCTAGAAAAATGTTTTCCAGCAATGCAAATCAAATTCTGTTTCCAACTCATTTGTTACTTAGTATAAGCTCAGATTTCTAAGCTTATTAGATTATATTTTTTTAAATTGGTCTTATTAAAAATAACTAACTTAACGAATTTGTTTTATTTATTTTCACTTCTCGGTTTGCTTTCTTCATTACATAGATATCCTATATAACTTTTTTTAAATGCAAATTTAAATAACTTTAGAAAGTGATCTAGAGGCAAAAGCTGCATTTTCTGCAAATAATTTCCGCCCTTTCAACCCGATGACAAATTAGATTAGCTCGGTGTCTATCACAGCGATAAGAAGTTTCCCTAGTAATTACTTCTTGATAGATTTTCTGATTGGCTGAGCCGGTGCTAAACCACTGGTAAAAATGTAAATTTTTTGAATAATTGCACAATTTTTCACAGTTTTGTGGAGAAAATTATGGACTATCAAAAAATTAATACTTCTTACAGAAAGTATATCTATGTGACAAATTACGAAGCTTTCTCCATAAGACTGTGCAAAAATTTAGGAATAGTGTGCAAGTGTGCAAAATTAAAATATGAAATATTAAGTTCTCTTGAGTTCGGTGAGGAAATATTTACTTTTGATGGTCTTATTCCCACAAAGCTGTGTGCGAAACTGACCAAAATTAGTAGAATATAACAGTAAAATAAATATTAAGTTTGGTTAGGGTTGGCAGGAAAATATTAATTTTTTAATGGTCTATAATTTTGACCGCAAAGCTGCGCAAAACTTGAAAATTAGTGTGCAAAATTATAAGACATTGAAATTTAGTCAAATTATTTTTAAAATTCTATACATACAGGGTGTCTACAGATTACCTATATACAACAAGAGCTAGGTATAATGAAAGTGAAAACTGTAAGTTTTAAGTAAACTCGTTCTCTGTTCTCAATCCAAGATGTCATGAAACTTGAAATTATTATGCTCCTAGGCAAAATTTCGACAAACTTTGACGTGCATAATTGAATTGTAAATAACGGAAAAATATCTGAAAAACAAAAACTGTAACGTTTCATGAAATCAACGTCAATCAAAAATTGATGCTTATTTAATTACCTAATATGAACCTTTCACAATTATTCGTCAATTCCTAAATAATTTCTAAGAAACTTTAATAAAATCAAGGCTCAGGCCGAATCGATTTTTTTTTTGCAATAATAATAGTATATTATTTTACACCAACACATGATGTGGTCGTACATTTGACTTGATTTTAAATAATATACAAACTATCGAAAAAATTATCTAAGCTCCTAATGAACGGTTAAACTTTTCTCTCGTGATTTATATTGATCATAACTAAATTGCTCTTTAATCAGATTACGTTTTCAACTTATTTTTCTTTGTAAATACAATGGGGTATTTAAAAAGTACTTTTGAACTAATCACATAAGAATTAGTAAAATAAATGGTCCAATTTGAAATACAGGGCAACTTATTTTTATATTATGCAAATCCAAATTCAAATTATTTCCTTGACCAAGGTTGGTTTCAACCACAAATTTGAAAAATAGGTAAGTTATTTATTTATTTATCAACGAGCAATGCCCAATTACAATATGTGTTTAACTTTAAATTCACACAAATTTAAAACTTAAAGTAATATAATAAAATTCAAAGACATGCAAGGACTTATTCAACAAAATATATTATGCACTTGACACAGGAAAGCATTGTATGGCGCAAAGAAGTCGATTTGATGGTGTTGGTTGGCTAGTCTAGCAGTTCTGGATATAAAAGTATAATTTCCGTAATTAGTACGGTGAGTAGGGCAGTGAAAACTGACAGTTGCTCTGGTGGTTCTCGCAGGGACATGAATACCAATCTTATGAAGAATGTCTGGAGCTGCAACCTTACCATGTAGAATTTTATAGAACATTATAAGATCTCTTCTCTTGTAGCGAGCACTTAACGGCACCATGTTTAACATAGAAAGTAAATCAGAATCGTTGTAATTATCTAACATATTTAGTTTAAACGCAATTTGTTTTAAAAATTTGTGCTCGACCTTTTGAACAGATTCCATATGTACACCATAAAAAGGGGACCAAACGCAAGAGGCATACTCAAGATGAGGGCGTACCAGGGCGCAATATCAAGTTTTCAAGGCAGTAATGCTAGTAAAGTCCTTGGTGCTTCTCCTGACGAATCCAAGCATCTAGAAAGCTTTGTTAACAGCATTGTTCAAATGGTTAGAAAAATGAAGGTTCATATCCAATGAGATCCCCAGGTCTTTGACAAGGGAAAAGTTTTCTAGGTTATGCTCACCGATTCGGTAAACAAACTTTAAAGGATCTCTGGCACGAGAAAAGGTGATGGGCGTGCATTTAGAAGAGTTGAGATCCATTCCGTTTCTATTGCACCAATCAATCAAGTTATCAAGGTCATATTGGAGTTTATCACAATCCTCGGGGAATTTAATGATGCAACTGACTTTGAGGTCATCAGCAAATAGCAGAAAAAGACAAGAGGCAAAACATTCATGAATGTCATTAATATAAACAGTGAAAAGGAGCGGGCCAAGGTGCGACCCTTGGGGCACCCCGGAAGAAACCTGTATAGACTTTGAAAGATAATTGCCAATTTTGACAAACTGTTTGCGACCAGGCAAGTAAGTATGAAACCAAGAGATCATGGGTTCAGCAATTCCAAATAATTTCAGCTTGTGCAATAACAACAACAAAATATGGGAGACTCTATCGAACGCCTTGGAGAAGTCCATGTAAATTGTATGCACCTGATGACCTGCTTCCAAGGCGTCCAGCAAAAAATCTACTTGTGTAAGACGATTTAACTCGGTAGATTTGCCCGATCTAAAACCGAACTGTTCTTTAATTAGTTGTGGCTCAATTAGGGGTGTCAGAAAATCACACACTAAGCACTCAAAAACTTTAGGGATTGTACTGATTATATACTTATAGGCCGATCATTAGTTACAGATGTTTTATCACCTGATTTGAAGATAGGTTTTAGAAAACTCTCCTTCCAATATTCAGGGAAAACTCCAATTTGAAGGGAAAGGTTAAAGATATGGAATAAAGGTCTCGAGAGATTGAAGCAGCATTTTTTTTAGAAAAATAGGGGGTACCCCATCAGGTCCAGGGCCCTTGTTGATGTCAAGAGTAGAAAGCTTAGTATATATATCAGATATTGTAATAAGATGGCTAGAGATGTGGACAGTTGAACTAGAAAATTCATGCGTAGGGATGTCAAGCTGGTTTCGTGAATAAACCGTGGAGAAATAATCTACAAACATGTTAGCAATGTCCTCCCCAGAGCAACTTGACTTGCCCTCACATTTAAGCTCATTTGGAACATATTATTTTTTCTTTTGTTGTTCACAAAAGTCCAGAATTTTTTTATATTATACTTAATGGTCAATTCAGTCTCATGAATATATTGTGAATACGATTCCTGTGACAAGTTCTTGCATAAAAGCCTCAAGCGAGAAAATTCCCGATAATCATCAGCAGAAAGAGTAAACTTGTATTTTTTATGTGCTTTTTTCTTAAGAATTGTATAGTTTTTTAAATCAGCTGAGAGCCATATGGGAAACTTTCTGGCAGAATACTTTTTTAAAGGTAGGTACATATTTATCAATCGCAATAAAGATAATTTCATAAAAAATATTTAACATTTTTTCTAGAGTCTGGTTAATAAACAAAAAATCCCAATTAAATTGATGCAGAAACATGACAATATCACGGAAATTAGCTAAGTTAAAGTCTCTATAAAAATCGTTGAACTTGAGGCCATTTTCGTTCTCCTCATAGTTGGCTCGTAACTCAATGCTTATCGGTGGGTGAACATTTGGAGGGACCAAAAAACAATCGGCAAGTTTAATTTCCGTTGATGAGTCCTGCGTAAGAACCAGATCCAAAAGACTGTTGTGTGTAGTTAAATGCTGATTGAGTTGGAATAGATTATGGAAGTTGCATGTATTTGACACAACCTCCAAGCTAGCAGTCTCCCGGAGTAGGGCC